TTTGTTGTTTGGAAAGCACTTTGGCTCTCTGTGTCAACAAGGTGCTATATAAATAAAGTTTTACTTACTTACTATAAAAATTGTCAATTTATGTTTATAATTTATATTTTTTATACATTTTTGTAATTTTTTGCAAGTTTATCCGTGTCTAACTTTTGTGCAACTAAATGAAATGTGAGACATACGTTTTTTTTCTGATAGTATATAAGAATATAGTCTGATTAATAAGGTATAATCTATGGTACCTATTATCTGGTTTCTCATGGAAGTTATCACAGCAGCAATCTTTTTTCTGGAAAACTAATGTTTGGATTTATGTTTAATAAAAACATGATGGTCCTAATTTACTTAAAATGTTGAGGGTTAATTGTTAAAATAATCAACCACAGAGTAGAATGAACAGAATGTCTATATACATATACTTTATTAGGATTAGTATAGGGCTCCCACTGAATATCCTTTGAATCTACAATGATCCGGAAGAACTGAACTGCACGTCCATGTCAACAAACAGCTGGTAAAATGGCTGCTATTGTGGCTCAGCCAGTAGGCTATACAGCCGGGAGGACTGGTTTTTCTGAGCCGAGGTGCATTATTTTCTTTTAAACTGTTTTCCTGGTATCAGGTTTTGCAACACTGGAGGCATTTTACTCAGCAGGAAGGCTGGATCAGCATGACAGCCTCGGGTTACACTAGATCAGTACAAAACAAAAGCTGTAGCTATAATATTTTAAAATAAGCAAGTAATACCTCATAGAACTTACCCACTTGATTCTGTTTATTTTGTGAAATAATTCACATTTTGATTCAGTTTAGTTTAAATTTGTAAGTTTAACCTAAAAAATAACTGACTAATCTGTACAAATGTTTTTTTTAAATGGATTTTAAAACAAAGTTGATGATACTGAAAAATATTACATGTATGGAAACTTTAGCTTTAATTAAACAAAAATACTGGCATACACAGATAGCTCATATATAGTTAGTTAGTTATAGATAGTTTCATCCCAGTTGCGTGTAAAACCGCCTCACAACTGAAACTCAGAGCGGGCAGATACCCCACACCACTAATGATTTTCCAGGTACTCCAGGGCGTGAATTCCAGGCTCTCTGTCCTGGAAGCGGCGGGGGGAGGACAGGTTAGTCCTGTACGAACCACGTGATGAGCACACACCTGTGGGCGCGTCCCTTTGTACTACCTGAGGAGCGCGCGGCCGCATCCCGGGTGCTCTGCGCCGTGTGTTTGTTGTTTGCGTTCATCACCTCCGCAGCGTCACTGCTGTGTTCACTGGGACCAGACGGTTCATCACACCAGGTCAGCTCTAACATTATTACCGAGTTCTGAGGAGACAAGTTAGCTCAACACTGTGCGGAGAGTTTACACGGTAAAGCTTTTCAATTGAATCTTTGGTTATAGTAACAGCATTCGTCAGAAAATATCACAAGTTTAATTGCGCCATTTTAAAATACACATTTTTCCGTGTTTGTTGATCGCTAAGCAAGGCTACATTTTGTTTTTGCCCTAAATTAGTATTTGTAAAGGCCTATCTAGTTTCAAATATGAATCATTAATGTTTGTTTGGCGTTAGTTTTTTCCCTATTGTGTGAAATCCCCACTGTAACTTTAGATAGAATGGAATGTAACGTTAAATAGTAAGGCATCATGTTAACTTAGTGGAGCCTACTGGAAGAAAATTGTAGTCTATATATGACCGCACGGTGGTTTCACTCTCTGTGAAACTGGCTGACCCAGCTCACTTTGACTTGTCAGCTGCTCAATCTTGAGAACAGGCAGTCTCAGTTTGTGTGCCGGTGTATCGCCACCCACTTACTTTGTTTCACCACAAACAAACCTGAACTCCAAGCAGTAGACTGCTAAAGGTCAATATTTGAAGATTTGTTTTAAATGAAGCGAGCTAACCATCATTCTCTATAAGAATATATATGGCTGGGTGTTAGGGCTGAACATGAATCCGAACATTATCCAAAACACCAAGTGCAATATCCAAATGGCAGAAGCTGCAATTTTTATTAAAGGTAAAATGTGTGACAAAATAGCATTATAATAAAGTACTGGCCCACAAATCCAGATGTAAGCCAACATGTTTGTTTGGTACAGACTCTAACATATGTCACATCATCAGTTTTTTTCAGTGAAAATAATGCAAAAATGATAATTCCCACTGGATATACTTAGAGCTGCAATGATTCGTTGATTAATCAATTAGTTGTCAACTATTAAATTAATCGCTCACTATTTTGACAATTGATTAATCGTTTTGAGTTATTTCTTAAGCATTTTTTTCAGCTTCTTAAATGTGAATACTTTCTGGCTTCTTTAGTCCTTTATGACAGTAAACTGAATGTCTTTGAGTTGTGGGTAAAACAAGACATTGGTGGCCATTTCCCTCCGTTTTCTGACAAAACAACTAATCGATTAATCAAGAAAATGACTATTTCATTTATGCAACTGTGAATTGAGTTTGGTGGTAAATTTGATGGATGGCTGCTGTGTCATGGTAGATAGTTGATCGAACAATGATGCTGATTGTTAACATTATGCAAAAGTTTGTAAAACAATTTTTTATACTTTTGCCATAGACACACAGCCTGCATCTTTTTTTGCAAAATCAACTGTTGTGACAAGTTATTGTTTTTTCTTGGCAGGATATAGCAGTTCTCATTGCATTTCAATATGCCGCACAACAAACACCACGCCACACCCCACCACTCAAGGGGTAGCAAACAGTAAGTTGACCTATATTTGCTATCCTCATGTCTCACACACACACGCCCATATAGATATATACACACAGTATATAGATTCAGTCCTAACAACTGCCGGTATACTTTTTACACTTACTTTATTCAGTGATTATTTCTACTTTTCAGTGCACATACTCCTGTAGCAGCTGAAGGTTCCAACAGTAGCAATATCATTGTTTAAAGGTTAAACAGTTTGACGTTTTTCTGGAAATATGTCTCTTTTCTGGCTTACCAGACCAAAAGCTAAATGATCAGACCAGATAAGTTGGATAATGTATGTAGAGCTGCAGTGATTCATGGATAGTTGATTGACATCTGTGATTTGTCTGTGACGATTTTTGCATTATATGTGTTTTCATGTCTGGCCTGGACCTCTCTGTACTAGACACACAGATGCAGGAGATATCATTCTAAAGCCCCATTCAGACTGGATGTATTTCTCAGTGGGAGGGGGGTGACTTTAACATTACCTGCACTGGTTAGTGTGCGTACCGTACGTATGTTGGTAACTTTTCACCTCCACCCCAGGAACAATGACCTATTTTTTTTTACTCCAGAGAGACGTCCTTGTATTTTAAAAAGGGTTTTAGAAGTGTCTTCTTGTTATAATAAGATACATGGACTTTTTCTATTTTTGGGTCTCTGGGAATGAGACTCAACAATCAACTAGCCTCCAACCCAAAGCTATTTTACATCTTTAGGGCTCTGATTGGTTGTTTTGGACCAGATCCATTAGGAGCCCTAGAATGAGCCAGAGGACACAGTGTACATTTCAGTAAATATGAAAAAAGTTATTTTTATAAAAGTGACCTACTGCAGCTTTGAAAGGACCAGTTCAACAAAATAAAAGGTTTTAATTATCAATAAAAACATGTATTGTAAGCTGTCTCACCTTTATGTTATCTTTGTCCAGTATAACTGGCCTAGCTGGGTTCCTTCTGTATCAGTATTTAGTGCGAGTGTTTACTGTGCCATATGTGAAGTGCAGCATGAGCCAGGAGGTTACAGACCACTCTGCAGTCTGTTCTGTCACAGCACACACTGACCACAGCTCCTCCCTCTTTTCTGTTGCAGACACAGCAGCAGACACAGGCACAGTGAGCTCATGTCCAATCCAGCCTTTACCTACTACCCAGGAGAGGAGATGCTCCACTTCTATCGCTGGACTTCACCACCAGGCGTGATGAAGATATTGTGTATCATCATCATCCTCATGTGTGTGGCTGTGTTTGCGTGTGTGGCGTCTACGCTGGCCTGGGACTACGACATGAGCCTCATGGGTCTGGGCGGAGGAAGTAGCCTGATTCCAGGTTATGGCAGCTCATACGGCGGCTCATACGGTGGCTCTTACGGCGGCTCTTACGGCAGCTCGTATGGCGGCGGTGTTGGCGGTGTTGGCGGTATGGGTGGCTATGGAGAAACGCAGATGGATCCCGTAGCTGGCAAAGGCTTCATCATCGCCATCGCCGCCATTACCTTCATAGCTGTGCTCATCATATTTGTGTTGGTGATCTCGAGGCAAAACACTGCCCGCTCACCAAAGTTCTACCTAGCAGCCATCGTCATCTGTGCCATCCTAGCATTTCTGATGATCATCGCCACTATTGTGTACTTGGTTTCGGTGAACCCAACAGCCCAGTCCACAGGGTCAATGTACTACAGCCAGGTCATCCAGCTGTGTGCCCAGTACCAGAACCAGAACCAGGCCCAGGGCATCTTCCTCAACCAATACCTGTACCATTACTGTGTGGTGGAGCCCCAAGAGGTGTGATACACTTGCTTTTTTTTGGTCTGTGGGGCAGGATGTGTATACTTTATATCTCCTTTACCAACAGAAAGCCAGCCATTATTCACATTGTCTGTCACAGATCACAGATTTTTCTGTTTTATCCACCTAGTTAACAGTAGAGCTGCAACAATTATTCAATTAATTAATTAGTAGATTGAAAGAAAATACACTCAACAACATGTCTCTGTAGCTGACATAATGATTGCTGTGATAGGAGGCGCACAGGTCACATCAGAGATAGATAGCAGGCATTGTTATCTATCTCTGATGTGATGTCTTTCTAATTTCTTAGATAGACATGTTGCTGCTAAGTTTTTCATGTAATTTTAACTTTATGATTTACTTTGATTGTTTGGGGGCAGAAGCAGACGTGTCTTTGTCATTTTGGGAGAATGACCAGTAGCAGCTTGGAGCTATCCTGTCTGCTCTGTGGAGTCTGTGGAGTCTTGTGTTAGATCCCACAGCCCCCCCTGTTATTTACCATCCATGTTAGTGGATGTAATTTCAGCCCATTGACTGAGTCCTTTGGTTTCTGCAGGCTATAGCTATTGTCCTGGGCTTCCTGGTGTTTGTTGCCCTCATCATCCTGCTGGTGTTTGCCGTCAAGACTCGCTCCGGTATCAGGCGCTGGGGCCGGGACCGCGTTCTCTGGGAGGAAGTGAAGGTCATTAATGATGGTCCACACAACAGCATTGGAGAGTGGGTGAGTGTGTGTTTGTATGGCAACATTTGTTTAACAGCAAAAACCTGGATGATAAACATACATTTGTTCAACAAATTAAGACTAAACTAAGTACATCAGGTCAATTGAACAAATTATGGACCTACTGTTCATTTTAAACTTGGGGCACTAAATCAAACAACATAATTACACATAGTGTTAGTAGGTACTTTAAGTGGGCAAGGTAAATGTTCAATTGGGCAATCAACACTCAACATTTCCAAAGATATCAAATATAATAAGGGTCAGTTTTGGGGGGAATGTGAGTGAATTGATGCACAAGCATGTAGAATGTGTTCATTTGATGGGATGGTGCTGGCATAAAAAAATGGAATCGTGGGTTTGAATATTTAACTCATAAACATCATATAGCCTCAATGAAGAGCTGGAACAAGATGATACACGATATAGATGATCATTTCACATAGGGATACACCAAAACCAGTATCAGGTCCGATGTTGTGCTACTCCGATACCAACCTCTTGTTGGTTGAGCAGGTAGGTGGAGGAGAGTATTTAAGCAGATTTTACGACATTAACAACATTTCAACATTTCAACAACCTTAAAGCTACTTAAGGGGAAATAAAATGGATGTAAAGAGGTTCCATTATTGTTGTTTGTCTTGTTTTATAGTGAGTACAAACTTGTGTTTAATCAGTCTGTTACTTTGCTTTACTTTGTGATGTTTATGTGATCTCCAAATGGACTTGTTAAAGACTTCCAAGTCTTGAAAAACTAGAGATATCTTAGGCATGTCATGAAGCCATTAAATAACTACAGTGTGTACAACTATTGTTTTTGTTCTCAGAAAATGGCTACACAGGAAAATATTGTAATTCAAGGAACCAAGCACAGTTTAGATAAACATGACTTAGTTAAAACAGATGAGAAGTGATAAAGGTGTGTAGGTGTGTGTGTGTGTGTCAGGAGAGTTTCTGGGTGTGGTCTGTTAAGTCACTCTTAGTTGCAGCATGATGTGCTGTGTTGTCAGGATCATTTGTTATAAAAACAAAAAACGTATCCAACAACTACGTAAAACATCTAAACAACAAATCCTGAGGAGTAGGTATACCAAAAAACATGAATACAAACCCAAGTGTTCTTAAATGACATGGTGTGCTTTCTGAGGACAGTGAAACAAATGAAAGTCTTCACCTGTTTCCATTGGCGCATAGTTTTCATTCCAGGTGTGTGAACTTTCTCAGCAGTGCATTCAGAGAGACATTGTGTCAGGCTTCCTGTTGATGGTGCTGATGGTATCGGTAGTATTCAGGCATGCAGAGAGAAGGGAGAAGCAGTGGAACCGGTTGGTCCTAGTGAAAACTGCATACAACCATAAACGAGTGTTTATCATATGGACAGAACAGGTTGCTTAAGTGTAAAGAGAAGCCTGAGGAAAACCTGACCGAAAACCCAGGGCAGCAAACATTTAAAAAAAAATGTAATTTTGAATAATGAAATTGAGGTTGCAGTTCCCTTTATACTACTTGTAAAAACAAAAAATAGGTTAAAAAAAGATGATTAATAAGTCATGAAAAAGAAAAGAGTAGTAGTTATTATTAATGGTTAACAATGTAGTAAAGCTAATGTGCAAATGAATATATTTCTCGTTTCAGTGAGGTCAGTTGTGAATTAAAAATATGAATCGACAGTATGGCCATAACAAGAAAGTAAAGTAAAGTCATTAAAGAAGTTTAAGATGGCAGGTTGTGACATGTTGAAAAAGTCAAACAATATAACATAGTTGTTTTACACATGACAGATAGGGACTTAGAGGGTTACTCTAGTTTCTTAATATTGCACTTTTATAAAGCTGGAGGAACTCTGAGAGGCAGTTGAAAATAGGAGTGGTCATAAGTGAAGCATCTGAAACCAAGATATGCTGATGTTTATTCTTTAGTTTGGCTCAAGCAAAAACACTGGATCCTATACTTCCCATAGTGCAACTAGATAGTCAGACTCTCTTCATAGGCCTAGGACTATACCATCAATATTGAAATGATTTTCATTTGTGAAATTGGTACAGTGTGGAGGGTGGCTTTTAAGAATTACATTTTGACTTTTAATTCAGAGACAGATAAAACTGAACTCTACAGTAAAACGTTTTCTTTGAAACCCTGCTAAAAAAAAGTCTGACCTTGTCTCTCTCTCCAGGTGAAAAATGTGTCTGGTGACCCAGAGATGCAGCTGAATGACCATAATCCTAAAGTTGGCGGTTCCAGAGACTACTTGGACCAGCTGAACCACAGCAAGCCTCTTTACCTGCCAGGGTAAGTTATGCATCTTACAGCACACCTCGAAAGGGCCTGTCACTGAGCCCCAGGAGTCTACTGTAGGTCTTCTGCCACTGAGCTGAACTTTGTCTATGGTAGCCTAACCTGAACTGGTGTCCACCTGTCCAATAGAAAAACAAATTCCAAAAAGTCATTTTTTAATGTGAAAAATATTAAAATATAAATATTATCTGACAGCACTGACGTGTACACAGAATCCACATGAAAGAAAGAAACAAGACTAGATGCTAGCAGCCCCATGAGGCCATAAGAACTCATTACATACCAGAAAACCAAATTGTGAAGGAACAATGGGAAGGTTTACCAGTGACCTTAAAACTTGAATTTGCCTGAACCCACACTATAGCTATCTTTAGGTGTCCTGCAGTGAGCTAGCTTTGTAATCTCCTTTTAAAATTAAGGTCAGTAGGACAAAAACTAACTTTTAGTCAATATGTGTTTACAAAACTAGCAATATACTTTTCTGGGATTTTCTGAGGCCAGTTTGCTGAGGTGGGTCTGTCATGAAGAAATGAAGAATAAATTCCTGATGTTTGTTGAAGATATCTTTGTGTCTGATCTTGGGCAAAGTACACATTATATAGGTTGAATGCTCATGAAAGCAAAAAACCTTTTTAAAGTTGACTCAGATGACTCTGCCTTTTAGCAGTCTGTAATAACAAGCAATCTAAAAATCTGCTTAAATATGAATGAATTTGACTTGTCAGTGATAGGGTTAATAAAGTACAAAAATATATAAATCAATCATTCTGTTTGCAGAGACTCAGACATCAGCAGCTCTGTGGGAGTCCTGAAGCCCCGGCTGAAGGACTATGACACTGGTGCGGAGTCTGGAGATGATCTGGAGGAGGAGGACTTCAGTGTGTGAGTGGATGTGAAGAGCTCTAATTGCCAGTGATAGTAAAGATATTCATCTGCTTTTCTACTGATAGTGTTATTATTGATGTCTAGTTACCACCCAATAAAGTTAATTTCATTCTGTTCTTGTCTGCAGTCTGTTTCCTTCAATCATGGATGAGCAAGAGCGTCTGAACTACAAACGGGAATTTGACCACGATCACCAGGAGTACAAGAGCCTGCAGGCTGAGCTGGACAGCATAAACCGGGACCTGGTGGACCTGGAAAGAGAGATGGGCCGGCACCGTGAGGGCAGTCCACAGTTTCTGGTGAGTGTGGCAAATAGTTGTTTGCTGCTATAATAATGTTATATATAAAAGTATGGCATGGATCAGAAAAGGCTGATAAACCTTGTTTTAGCATAAAACATATGCATGTGTGAATCTAGGATGGTCAGGATTAGATCATTGACCACTATCTTTCTGATCTCAGGATGCCATGGATAAATTCACCAGACTAAAGAATCTCAAGAAGGTAAGGCATACAGTATGGCATCATTTACAGCAATGTTGTTCTTTACAGTGAAATACAGTTAGTTTGTGGAAAAAAAATCGAATTGTTTTGAATTTGTTTCTACCATCTGCAGTCCCCAACCTACGAGATTAAGAAGAAGAGGTGTAAATATGTCAGGTCCAAACTGTCGCACATCAAGAGGAAGATCAGTGAATATGACCGACGACCTTGAACCTTCCCCTCTGACCCCGCTCATGCTGGGAAAGATTCAGATCTGCAATTTCCCACACCGCTGTGTTTGAGTTTATCACACACCTATGTGGGATTACTAGTGAAAGCCTGTTGCCTTTATATTACATCTGTATCAAGCCAATCAACTGAGATGTTTTTGAGAAGAGAGTGGGGTGAAGGAAGTTTTGACTTTTTTACTATTGTCTTTGATCAATTCTTCAACCTCTGTGAGTTTCATGAAGAACTATGTAGGTGTATAAATGTATTTTATTTGTTTTTCTTTTTAAGTTAAAAAGTGAGAGATGTGATATTTGTTTTAGTGGTATTGTGACTTCTATAAAGCAGTTATTTTCTTTTATAGGCTTTTGAAAAATATATGTTTTGACAGTTTCTTGAACAATGAAGGCACAGCTAAGATGAGATGAGGCATGAATTTGCTTAGCATCATCATTCCTTGTAAATAATGTTTTACAGATTGTTCCGCAGTAAGCTTCTCTGTACTTCATTGTGTGGTTTTCTGTAAATGATGAAACCTCTCTGTACTTGTAATTGTAAATTCTTATTATAGACCCTTCTCGTTGTGGATATTTGAAGGAAAAGCTGAAGTGTAACTAACTGATTAATGATGGCTTCATTCCCTTTAGGAGTGTCATCAACATTTTTCTAACATTTGTCTTTCTCTATACTGATTTTCGTTTCTAATTTCCACATTATTGAAAAGCAAATGAACAATTCGTCCCACCGTGTCAATATATGATTATTCATTAGATTTTCCATTGATGTAATAATGCCTGTTGGACTGTTTCTCTGAATAGACAGATGTATACAACATGTTTATTTTGGTGTGCAACAAGTCCGTTTGTATAGTACCTTTTGGAGAAAGCAGGGCTGTAAGCTTTCAGTAAAAAAATGTTGCTTATTGAGTTTGTTGTGTCATTGTGTTTGAAATAACATGTTAACATGGGTTCCACTGATAAGTGAAAATAAAGACCGTGATGGTAATTGTGCTGTTCTTAACTGTAGATGCAATGTAATCAAAGTTAGCTCAGTTGTTCCTTTCTCCGCAGAGCGTGTTTCTTTCCGGAAAAAAACTCCGTTGCACCCTATGAAAACCAATGTTTTTCCGTGTTCTAGATAGTTTTTCTTTAGTTACAAATGTAGTTATAGTTTTAAGTTTTACATGCTGTAACTTCAAACCGCAATTAGAAAGAGGTGCAGGACACTTTGCTTTGAAATATAAAGCAGTATCTACTGCATGTGAGTTCCTAGGGACGGAAGAGGCGGAATTCTTCTTAACGGAGTGGATAGTTTTCTCTGTAGAGCATGTTTCTTTCCGGACAGAAATCTCCGTTGCACCAGCTGGCGTTACACTGACTACACCAGCATTGTAGGTACAGCTGACTGTTTCTGATTAGTGTATCGTAAGTGGTATGACACACAATAACAATATGGTAACTAGATGATACGTATCATAACTTGGTTCGCGATGGTGAATTACGTAAACAAGCCCCAATAATGCTCGTTGAACAGAACTGTCAGCTAGCTAGCTGTTTTATTGAAATGACTGAGTCTAGTTTACTGCAAGGTTTCATTTGATATAACGCGATGTACACAATGCTGTTGATTAACTGTATGGACAGAAAATAATTCGGCTCAGACAAGCAGCGTTAGCTTTATAAAGTTACTGTCTGATAATGTTTTGTTTGCATCATGTCAAACTCTATTTAGAATACATGGAACTGAATAACAGTTTCTAGTTTAGTCTTTTAGGAATCAGTAGTGCTTTCTGATGTACAATATTCCGTACAAATAATGACATTCGGTTCAGTTATGGTTTATGGTAACAATAATGTTTTTTGTTTTGACACAGCTTCATACCAAACCTCATTCAAAATACGTGCAACTGAATAATACATTTCTAATTTGTCTTTACTACCTACTTTGTAGAGTAAATTTTTTTATGAATCATTAGTGTCTTCTGATGTAGACTGTTTGGCATATTAATAATACACAAAACAGTTATAGGTTTAATATATTAAAATCACTATGACAAGTAGCTCCTTGCTATTCCTTGGCCATGAATGCTGATTTGACACCTTGTGCAGTAGACATGTGTATTAATGTGAACCTGTTGTTTCCAAGTTCTTTGGCTTTTAGTTAGTTGAATCGCTGGCGGGGTAGACAAAATGGACGAAGAACCGGAGAGGGCCAAGCGCTGGGAAGGGGGCTATGAGAGGACATGGTAAGACTGTGAAACTGGAGGTTTTCAACTGGAGACATGGGCTGTCATTTGATGCAGTATTGTGTAATGTATGCATTCTCCTACAGGGAGGTGCTGAAGGAGGACGAATCTGGCTCACTCAAAGCCACAGTGGAAGAGATCCTGTTCCAGTCCAAAAGGAAAAGGTGTGTTACTCTAAACACAGTGCTGGAATTGTATTTCTTTAGACACTTCTTCTCTGTTATGATGTGAATGAGACCTACGCTCTTCTGCTGGAGTTATAATTCACTTCATTTTATAACACAGT